TATTACTGGAGGAGCCATATCTGAATATAGGTAACTACCTAAATTAATTTTTTTAACTATGCACTATAAATAATCTTACTCTATATGCTCTTATCAATACATTCGAGCATTATGGACAAATACATGATAATATTGAAATATTATATTACTTACTATGCAGATGTGGACAATTTGGATATGTCACACAATATTTCATTTAGAGACATTAGGGAAATCCATATGGAAAACCAACGAGATCCACCCATATCGTTTGACGGTATGTTTTAAACTAAGTTAAACATTTTTGTTAAATACTTAAATGTGTGATCAATTTCAATTTTAGAAAATTAAGAAGACTATGTTATTCGGGCCCAGGGGCGGACTGGGGCAACATTTCGGCCCGGGAAATCTATATTTTGACCGGCCCTTGCCATTTCTCGTCATCACAAAATGTAAAAACTAAAAAACATACCAATGTTTTATTCAATAAGAAATGCATCCTCTACACATTTTCAATTTTCTCAGAAGACAACTTAAGATTCTCAATGTTTTTAGTACATTATATATTATTATTATCTGGAGACCTGAATTATAGACTAAAAAGTATAATGTATAAATTATTTATAATTACCTATATTACTATGTTAGTATTAACATTAGGTACACATGGTGTAATACTAATGTGTAAGATATTGTAATAAATTAAACATTCTTTATTTTTTTGTATCTATATTTTAACATCTAATCAAACATTTTAATAGGTTAATTTAGATCTTAATAAATTACTGTGATATTTAACAATATCAATAATGTCATCATTATCAATTTCGAGTAAAATCTGTTTCTCTACACTCATCAGCATAAATGCCTCCAATTTCGATTCCGTCAAAGTGTTTCTCAGCCGTGATTTAATGTACTTCAGAATTGAGAATGATCTTTCACATGCTACCTAAAAAATAAAACTTACATTGTTAATTGTTATTATACCCAGATTACTGCAATACTGCATATTATTAGTAAATTATGTTTGTATTAAAAATAATTAATTCATTATTGTTACCTGAGTACATGGTAATGTAAGAAGGTATTTGTAGGCTAAAGCAAGGTTTGAGTAAGCATTACTATATAAATTATACTTGAGTAAAACATTGTAGCAACAAACTGAACAATTCATACATGATTTACACATTTTTGAACTTGCAATCTTTTCTTCATTACTTTCAACATCATCATTGTTATCGTCATCAGTATCTTGTATGTCTTTATTAACTATATATTCTTCGGGTAAAGACTTTTTTAAATATTTCCAATTATCTGCAAAGCTTAAAAGTCCATTTCTTAACTTTTCAATTGTTATAAAATTATCAAAATATTTTAACACTTTACACAACTCCACTAATGCATTAGAAGGCAATTTTTCATTTGATATGTCTCCAAAATTATTTATCGATAAACAAGATAGATCTGTATATAGCATTTTATTAGAGGAAAACTTTTTTTCCATACTTGAAATTGTGTCTAATATAACATTGTAAACCTGAACTTCAAACTTTTTCTCAGCATTTAGAATAGGTGTATCTGAAGATTTTTCATCAAACATTTTTTTTCTTACACCGACTTCTTACATCAGGAAACTTTATTTCAATGAATACATCTACATTACAATCTTCAAATTTACTATTCAATATCTCAATAAAATTATCAGTTCGTTTCTTCACACTCTGCATATTTCTTTGTAATTTTTTCAATTGCTGTATAGAGCCATCAACCAATTCTTGAGACTTTATTAAATCTATACCTTTTGTTTGTAAATACCTAGAGAGAGGACCAACAATTTCAAAAATATGCACATAAACAAATGCCGTTAATATAGTTTGATATTCTAAAAATGATCCTTTCAAAATTTTTGCTTTTACACGAACTTCAGGTGTAAAAGAATCTAATGTTTGTATAGTGTCTAAAGCTAAAATCATTTCTACAAACAAATGTCCCTGATCTACAAAAATATGATGCAAAGCTTTCTCTTTAGACCACCAACGAGTATTTCCAATAGTCACAAGTCTTCTTAAATCTTTCTCACCAATTGTTTTTTTCCATACATTCTTTCTCTTGTACGATTCTTTAAAAAAACTGCAACATCATTTAATAACACAAATAAACTGGCAGCTTGAAGTGGTGATTTTGTTGCTTCAATAATAACTAAGTTCAAAATATGACTATAACACCATACATGAATCTGACCAGGTGAAGACTTTGAAAGCCAGGATGAAAAGCCATTAAATCTTCCTTGCATATTGGCCGCTCCATCTGTGGCATTTCCAATGCATTTTTTTACATCAAGTCCATTGTTGTTCAGTACATCTTGTAGCATTTCATGGAAACTTTTTCCTGTCGATTCTTTCATTGTCACAATGGAAATTAGTTTTTCATTTACTCCTTTTGAATTCACATATCTTAATATTACAGAACACTGATCTTGAACAGACACATCCTGTGTAGTATCCAGCTGCACAGAATAAATTTCAGCTTCTTGTATTTAAGAAGAAATTTCCCTTTTTATTAGAACACTTATAGCATCAATAATCAAATTAACAGTTGTTTTTGAAATGAACGTTATAGATGAACCTCTTCCTTTAACTTTTGTAGACTTATGTCGAGCAGCTTTTTCTTGAGCACTTTTGATTATTTTATCAACATGTTCATTTAATGTGACATCATATTTTTTTAAAAGAAGTAGAATTTCTAAAAAGTTACCATGGTCAAGTGTAGGATCGTTTAAAGAATAAGATGATTCATTCTGAGCAGCTCGATAGCTTAAACCTCTCTTCCCAATTAGTTTTACTACCTCAATAACACTTTCTAGTATTTTCCTATTATTTTTAACTTCTTCCTTTAATTTATGTTTTTGTTCTGAAAATAGTAAATAGTCTATACTTTTGTTATTTGCATGGTGTAGATAAGCATCTGCACATAATGTATGATTTTTGCTATTTTCATGTTCATCAATTCTTTGATAAACATGTGTCCAAAGTTGCAATCCTTGAGTAAACACATTATCTTCTGAAGAAAAACATAAACACACGCTACAAAATAAGCTTTGGGAAAATATATCATATGAAAGCCAACAACGTTGAGTTTTATTTTTCCGGTAAAATGCTTTAGATGATTTAAAAGGAATATCCAAAAATGGTTGTTGTGGATGATATTCAAAAAATTGACCAAGATCCTTTTTGTTGGGTTTTTTAAAATAGTTGATTTGTGTTTTTTCATAGACATCAACATTACTATCTTTAATAACAATGCTATCCTACTTATAAAAAAAGAATAGTTTGGTTTATAAGGGTAACAAACTGTCAAATTATTTTTCATTGCTACTTGAAAATGTATTTAAATTTTTTAGTTAATATCGTTCATTATTCATACTTGAATTAGTAAAAAGTATATTTGTTTTAAATATCTATGTTAATAAAGAATATTATGAATAAATAATATAAATGTTATGAACAGAATAGTTAATTTATCAAATAAATTATGTTTAAATCTTTTATTTTTACTTTTTTTTTATACCTACTCACATATAATAAAATTAGTAGGTACATACAAATATTGCTCAAATAATTAACATTATCATTCTAAAATAGGTCACAATATTTATACATTTTAAACATTTGATTATTAAAAATAAAAAAAACATAATTTATCAATTAATTTTTTTATTCTTACTTGATTTTGTACTAGTTTGTTATCTTCAAAATCCATTATAATAGAGCTTGTACTACTAGTACTAGCACCAAAATTCACTTGATCATTACTCTAAAATCAATATTTTGTAAATCTGTATTAATAAAGTATAATAAAGAATATAAAGCAACTATTTTAAAAATTAAAAATAATTAATTTACTGACTACATATTGTATTTTTGTGTAAACTAAACTAACCTAATAGTTTTGAAACTATACCTAATTTAGTATATAGTAGTAACCATTATAACTAGATTAAACTTATTTTTCCTTTGGAAATAAATTATACCTATTCATATTGCATACCTATTATTTTTAAAGAATACTAGGTAAAAATAATTATTCTAGGTACGTACTTACATTTTTAATGCTTATTTGCGGTTGATGGCAAAGATTTTCTTGCATAACTAAAATAATATATTATACAAATTATTGATCATACACAAACACTCATAAATCAAATAACAATAATTCCCTTTAAATTTTAATATCACCATCATTTCAAACAAAAAACCGTACAATTTTGTGAGATTTGTTACATTTGAAATGAAATTTACTTACCAGTGTCACTATGAGTGTGAGGCACATTTGATGAAAAGCATTGGTTAATCTTCACACAGCTCTCACCTGACTTTTTTAAGAGTTTTTTTTTCTTTCTCTCAGTTTCTCCGCACCACCTTTTCTTTTGCTTTCCATTTCCAACAACCAATACTTAAACTCAATAGATAGGCAGATATTGAAAATCAACAAAAAAAAAACACAACACTCATAGATAAAATACAAAACAAGTAAAAACGCTGAACATACGAAACTGTTTGTAGCAAGTTAACAGCCAATTTAACACATTAATAATAAAACATATTATTATATTATACAACATTATGATAGTAATTAATACGTGGTTACTGGTTACTGAATACTGGTTTATAGTTATAGTTACAACCGTGCTTGATTAATCGATATAAGATATAATTAACGTCGTATATGAAGTTATAAATAATAATTGTTGTGGTTGCTAGGATTGGGGGGAGGGGTGGAGTATCAGCCGAACTCAAACCTATTTTAAACACCAAATGTAAACAATTTATTATGCACGCGCGTTATGATATTTATAATTTATATTTATATAATTATATCCATTAACTATTTTATTAAAATTTATAACTAACAAATTATTTTTGAGCAGCGGCCCACCGGGAAAGTTCCCGGTATCCCGCCGGCCCAGTCCGCCCCTACTTATTCCTGAAGACAATGATCCTCTTGAATTGGGATACAGAGAAATGATAAAGCAAGAAAGAATTGAGCAACTTAATAATTTACCATTTGCACCTGTTCCAGCCATATTACCAATATTATATCTGAACTCACGAAATGTATGTGCTATATATAAATCAAATGGAAGTACATACGCACTAGTTCCGTGTGGTCATCGAGCCCTATGTAAGGAATGTAAAGAGTTATTGGAGCAACAACGCTGCCCCATATGCTCACAACCATTTGATACCATATTAAGAATTTGGGATGCATAAATTTAATTTAAAAAACTGAAACTATAAATACAATTATTACATACAATTATGTATTATAAAATATATATTGCCAGTTATAATAAATTATTATGTTATAAGTGATTTTTCTATAGTTGCTTTATGTTTATATAAATAGGTAGTGTAATAAAATTGGTCATATTATTTTGATGGTTTGTACGAAATTGGTAGGTACACAGTCCATATATCTGATGTATACCTATATAAGGCTTATTTATAATATACATTTGTGCATATACATATTATTATACCTAGGTATTTTTAAAATTTAAATTGTAGAAAAATATAACATTATGTTCTACTGCTCTAGTGGCATAAATTATCTAATTATTATTAATACTAAAATTATTTAATATTGCTCCACAGTTATTCTTCATAAGGTTCCACTGAAAAAAAGTAATGATACAATTTTAACCTATTTATTGGAACCAACATTGTCCTTTTAAGCGATAAAGAATTACATTTTAATTGTATTATAATAGTTCTTGAATAGTAGGTTAGGTTAGGTTACCAGATATAAAAATCTAAAAAAAAAATACATTTTACATTTTAAAATTAATTCCTGATCTATTATACTAAATATGTTATTTATTTTGACATTATGTGAATAAATATTGTATACAATATACAACTGCAGTAGACTGTAGTACCAAGTAGTCCATTCATAATTTTATGTTGGAAAAACATTATGTGGTAGGTAGGTACAAGTAGTAGTAGGTACCTACCTACCGTATGTCTGTACTAATAATAAATGCAGAAGTCCATAACATATAATTTAATAATTATACTATTAAATTATGAAAAGCATTAATATTAGATTGTAATATTTTCAAAAATATAGTACAATTTCATCTACCTAATTAACACTATTATAGTATTTTAAGTATTATAGGTCAATGCAACAGAAAAATGACAACCCTATTAAAATAATACCTACGTACTATGATCACCATATTTATAGTTAGTAATATTATAGACTATAGTAATTACCAAATAAGAAGTAAGTAAATAAATAATAATTATAATTACCAATGGCACAGAAAAAAATACTTTAAATACTTTAAAAATTAATAATCAAATAGAAATCTATCAGTCTTCGAGGAATAAAAACGATCAAGAACTTTTAGTAACTTGTACGACGGACATAGTGCTAAGGTTTGAATCGTACAAACTACAAGGACTAGTGCCGGATCTAGGAAATTTGACGCCTAGGGCTAATAAAAATGCTGCGCCCTTAGGTTGGTGGTGTGCTGGGTGTCAACACGAAATAAAAATGTTTAAATACAAATCTAAAACAAATATTTTTATTGAAACCATTGTTTTAATATATACCGTGTGTACGCAAGAACTGGGTAGGTACACTATAACTCACTTACCTACGTTACTCAGTACCCCTAGGTACTGTACCCTAAACATAATATTCTGGAGTTCTATTAGTCTAGTTTCATGACCAGCAATTATAAAATTAAAGAATATTTGAATATGTATAGAGTACACACATACCTAGTTTAGTACATTATAATTAATATGTCGTGGATAATAATATTATGAACAACTAAAAAAAAAAACAGGAAATTAAAATTACATTCAATTCATGATATTAGATTATTATCAGACTCAATCGTAATTTGTAATAAAACCATTGACACTTAACAATATGTCAAATGTCAATAAATAAAACGCATGCATTGATATTTATATATTACCTATATATTAGTATATTAGGTACCTATGGATAGATGTATAAAAAAATGTAATGTATCTTTTAAACAATTATATCTCTGTCTAAAATTCGTATATTAGTGGAAACACATATTATATTCGATCGAGGACAATTTAGTCTTAAAAAAACTTTATATAGTAATTATTCATAATTTTCACGTTCCTTTTCCAGGAATACGTCCCTTTATTTATATGTGCCTATAAAAATCTGGAATAAGTGCCTTTAGGAAAAAAACTAATCGTACATAGGTTAGGTTAGGTACCTAACGTACAATAATTTATTGTTTGATTAAAAATTGATGGACATAATTACCTTTTGAATTAAATCTAGAGTTAATTTAGAATAGGGATGTATTATGTAATGTATAAAATAGGAATAAGGACCCTACATTTTTTACTTGTCCCAGGCCCCGCAAAACGCTGTGCCGGCACTGGAGTCAAAGACAAAACTATTATGGCGTCCGTTAAAATACCTTAATATTATTATTTTCCAAAAACGTGGCAGTCGAACGGAATGTCGGAATGTGTCGTTGTTGGTCCGCCGCGCAGTCCGTACCTATACAGTATGTCAGTATACGTTGATAATTATAGATAAATAACCTCTTTCGGATGTTGAGTGTAAACTGAAATAAATGTGTAAAGTATTTATTATAGACTTTTAAAACTCGAAATAGGTAGGTAAGCAAAAGATGGGTAGACTACCAAAAAGTCCAGTTATAGACGAACGATTGTATCCCGACGACCCGACACAGTTATAGTAAAAAATAATAATAGACTAGGTCTTCAATTCGGTGACCTATAAAATATCCGAAAATATTTCAGCCGAAAATATATAATCCGAAAATAAATTTACGAAAATTATTTTATCCGAAAAATACTTAATTAGAAACGTATTTTATCCGAAAATTATTAAACACGAAAGTATAATACACGAAAAATATTTTATCAGAAAATATTATACACGAAAATAAGTAAGCCAAAAATATATTAGTCGAAAATATTTTAACCGAAACGTTTTTATCCGAAAAATATTATAGTGGAAAAATATTTTACCCGGAACGTTTTCTCGCCGAAAAATATTTCATCCGAACCGTATTTTATCCGAAAATAATATAGCACTTGATAAGCCATAGATAATAGAAGAATGGATAGCGATGGCTGGCAGTTGTCGGAAAAATGATAAGAGTGGTTGTCCGTGGTATACCGGCGGTTACCCTGTGACCAACTTAAGGTGGTGTTGCAATGTTGCATAGCAAGTCGAGGCATATTTTCGATTTGCGGAGCGGAGCATGTCATGGCTGTACTTTGTTTTTTTAAAATTGGTGTCGGTGTTATATGCTGGTTAAAGTTCTTGGATTTTCTTCAACAGTATCTTTTCTGATAGGAAAGGGGATCTAGTTGTTACTTTGGGGTTAAAAGGTTTGTCAAAACAGTAGTTTTCAAAAGCGGCGTGAAAAACAAAATAAAAATTAAGGAAAAACGGGAATTTTTACACTAAAATCTGTTTTCGAAAAAATCGATTTTGGTTTTTGGTGCAACTCTTAAACAAATGACCGTAGGTACATGACATTTTGACTGAATGTTTGTATTAGCATTTTCTATACACGATAACATTTTCAAAATGTTTTGATTTATTTTTAACTGTTTAGGTACTATTTCATTTTCAATTTTTTTTTAGTTTTTTTTTTAGTTTTTTTTTTCTAAAAATATCAATAAAATTTTGTTTGTTGGTTGAAAAGCTTGAAAATTCAATCCAAGGCTCCTAGTATATTGTTTCAAAGGCAGATGAAAAATATTAAAAATCCTTAGTCACAATTTTTTTTTATAAGCATTTAAAGTTCAAAAATTGACAAAATATGGAAAAATCACGAAAATGAGCAAATTATTTTGAGTTAAGAATTCGTAAAAATTTTTCTTTTTAAATCTAAGATTTGAAAATGTAACACAAGATTCCTTATAAGATGATCTACCTTTATCAAAAAAAAAATGTCTATAAGAAGGTCAAATTCAATTTTTATGAGCGTTTGAAATTCATATTTTTACAACATTGGACATTCACTCGATTTCTCATGTAGCGATTTCCTTATTTTGTTGAAATTCAAAAACGAATAACTGTAGATACATGAAAATTTCACTGAATGTTTAAATTAGCATTTCCTATACACCATACAATTTTGAAATATTTTGACTCTTTTTGAGCTATTTACGGACATTTACCGCTTTCAATTTTTTTTAGTTTTTTTTCTATAAAATATATCAATAAAGTTTTATCTGTTGGGCCAAAGAGTGTAAAAATGTAATACAAGGCTCCTGATATATTGTAACAATATCAGTAGAAAAATATTTAAAATACATATGCACAATTTTTTTTTATAAGCATTTAAAGATCGAATTTTGACAAAATGTATCAAATTTAAAACTGAATAATTATTTTGTAGTTAAAAATGTATAAAATGTTCAATTTTATATCTAAGGATTGAAAATTTAAAATAAGATTCCACGTAAGTAGTTAATTCTGTCACCAAAAAATCTAAAAAATATATTAGCACAGTTTATTTTTATAGTCATTTTGAAGTTCAACTTTGGACAAAATTATATAAAAAAAAACCTAGAATAACTAGTTTACTTAGGTACCTATTTTGTTGTGATTGTGTAATATTATTTGTGGGTACTTGAAACTTCTAAAGTACTCTATTATATATCTATGGAGTATGGACTATGATAGTATCAGGGTTTTGTTGTTGACGTATAACGCATTATAAGTACCTAATGGATATTGTGATATGATTAATTTGGAATTTATTATATGTACCTATTTGAGGTAAATTTTTTTTAATACGATAGATAAGTATATAATATTTCTTATACCTAGACTGACATACCGTCTCCCCTCAGAATCGTTTTTCTTATACAATGATATTATATCATTGAATTCAAATTTAATACTATAGTTAAACATTAATAAAAATAAATTTATAATATTTTTGAAACGTTGGTTTTTCATTTCATTAAAATGTTTAATAAACTTTTTATAAAATTTATAAAATATTTTCTATTCAATCAATAAGCGGCCATTATAACATTAAATAAATATTTTTAGAATTATTTTTTAAATGTTTTTAAATTATTGTTTCAAATATTTAAATAAAATTTTTTTGCTACTTGGGTATCCATTATACAGTGACCCACTTGTAACATACTATACAGCAGATCAGCTTTTTTAGAGTTACTTGTAACTTGTAACCAGTTACAATAAATTG